AACTTGACTATTGATCCTAGTTATTAGGAAAGCCATTGGCAGGATGAAGAGAGGTGAGAAAGTGAAGGACGGGCCCAAGTGGACCTGATGGCAGCTGCCTAAAAATATTTTCACTTCCACAGTTTGAAAATAGTTGAATTCAAGATGCCACAAAACAAAGGATCCATGTGGGAGGCATTATCTGCAGCACAGTGCTCATGGAACAGAACGAACTCTGTGCATGCTCACTGGTCTGCAAAACAGCCCTGAAACCAAGTTAGCACTAGCCATGCACAACAGCCCGGCACAGCCAGTCCGCCTGTTGTGGGGTCAGAAGGGGAATGTCCCCATGGAGATGGGTCCAAGAGGGCTGAGGGACTGATGCAGTCCCATATCTTCCTCCCTCACAACACACACACACACACACACACACACACACACACACACACACACACACGCAGGACAATATCACAACCCTGCTGCTTCAACACATGCCTCCCCAAGTGACCTGTGAAACCAGCAGATATTTCTTCTGGGAGCCATTGCTACCTTCTCTGCTGGACTCCAGGACAGGAATCAGATGTGCAGTGATCTTGGGGCTGTGTGGGGAGGGGTTACTGTACTCACTGTGTGTGCTGCTGATGGGTTTGTCGTCCTCCTCGCTGTCTGGGCCTGAGCACCATTCGTCCCCGCTGTATGGCTGTTTCCTCTCCAGCACACACCGACGCTTGCTGCGAGGAGCCACCTCACCTGCAATGAGACAGAACCGTCGGAAAGCAGGAAGTGCCACCGCACAGCTATGGACAGCGTTGGCTGGGGCTCTGTCCCTCCTCTCCTGGCACACAGCGTTGTGATAACAAAGCCAGCCAGGGGGAGTCCAATGCACAGAAGGGCAAACATACAGCGGGTCAGCTGTCCATGCCAGGCCTCACCCTGGCCCTGACAACCGGCCTGGCTGCTCCCTGCACTAAACCACAGCGACCTCACCTAGCATGGAGCCATGTGGACTCCAGCCCAACAGCAGAAGTGACCTACTGTGGGTCAGAGGCCCTGCTACCCCCAAAGTGCAGGGCTGACACTGAGCCTCCCTCCTGCAGTGCACAACTTGGAAGCAGCCTGTCCATCTCCGGCCCGAGAGCAGTGGCTGAACTGCAACGTGCCTGCAGCAAGGATCTGCTTGTGCCGTAGTCAATAGTCCCCCTGCTACCACAGCTTTGCAAGGAGGCATGTAGCAGTCAGAGGCCAGGTGGGAGCCCTGCTGCCAGGACCCCTGCTCTACACAGCCATTCCTCGCACTGGGGGCGGGATCACGGCCTGGGCTGGGCCCAAACTGCTGCCACAGAACAATTTACAACACCAAGAGATCGTCGGTCAGGGAGCCCCAGCACCGTCCTGGAGCTGCGGGAGGCAGAGCGGCTGCTGGGGCGCTGGATGGGAGAGCCCAGCCGTCTCCGCCATTTACCAGAGCACAGTCTGGCACAACAGATGGACGGGAGGCTCAGCAGAAGCTTGTCAACTCCCATCTCCTTGCTGACTGCAGCAGGATTGGTCCCAACAGGACCCTCCCATCCCCCAGAGGTTTGCCCTGAGTAGCTGAAATGCACCAAGCAATGAGGCTCCTGCTCTCCTTTTGGGAGACAACTCCCCAGGCAGCCAGCTCTCCTGGCATCCTGCCCACATGTGCCCCTCTCAGTTTCAGCCAAGATCCTCTCCCGCCCTGCATGGGCCTCATACTCCCAGCTGGGCACAACGAGCTCTCTCCCTGGCCATCCGGGCCTCAGTGCTTAGACTCTCCCCAGAATCTTGAATCCAGAACTGGGAATCGTGACCAGGGATGCGCAAGGTTAACTGGTAAGCAGCACCCATAGTGGTAACGCTTACCAATTCCAGTTAACCAGTAACTGGCGGAGGCTGGGGCAGTTCCCTGCCTGCTGCAGGCAGGGGATGCTCCAGCCCCGCAGGCGGCTTGCTGAGGACAGGGGCTGCTCCAGCTGGGCTGCAGTGGTCCCCCGCATGGATCCCACTTAGTCAGTTACCCAGTTAAACGTTAGGTTAATCTAACCCTGAACTGATCGATCGAGATTTTACATCTCTACTGTGGACTGGCAGGGAGAAATGCACCACTGGTTTTCATGCATCTCTTCCTGCCTCCAGAACAGAAGCCAAATGGCAACTGGTGCCAATCTGAACAGAAATAAAGGGGGAAGGGAGCCAGGGACACAACTGAGGCAGCTCAGGTAGGCCAATGCAACAAGCACATGCTGCACTGGGGCAGGGACATCGCTTTTGCCCCAGAGATAGCTTCCCACCCCCTGGAGTCAATGGTCTCACATCAAGGCAGTAGAGCAGCGTGTCACCCTCCCAGGGCTTTGTCATGTTCACAACCTGGCTGTCCCACCCCACCACCACCAGAGCCCTGGTGTGGCCACACTGGGTCAGACCAAGTCCATCTAGTCCAGCATCCTGTAATCCGACAATAGCACAGCCAGGTGCTTCGGAGAGAATGACCGGAACAGGCAATTAATAAAAGAGCCATCCCCTGTTGTCCAGTCTCAGCTTCTGGCAGTCAGAGGGCATGGGACACCCAGAGCCTGCGGTGGTCACTGTGACAATCTTGGCTAATAGTCACCTTTGGAGAGATTCTCCATAAACTTATCTAATTCTTTTTTTTAATCCAGTTACAGCTACCCTGGCAATAACTTCCACAGGCACCCAGGACAGTCCTCACCACCCAGCATGCACGAGGAAAGGGTAACCTACAGCAGGGATTAACACTGACAACCCAGCATCAATGTTTTGGGGCGTAGCCTTGAATTCACATCAGCCCAGCCACAGCACGTGACTGGGAAAGAGAATGCTGCACAGATCTTTGCTAGTGAATTTCCTCATCAACTACCTCAGAGAAGGAGACTCAGGCGGCATCTCTATAAACACAAGCAGCTTGGAATAAGAGATACTTTATTATTCTTTGAAAGGAATCCATATATCCAAATGCTGCTTGGCTCTTGCTGTGAGCAAGGGAAGGCTTTGGCACTAAGCCCAAGGCCGAGGGATAGAGGTTTCCAAGAGTGAAAATGGAAGGGAAGTTTAGGACTATTTGTGGGATTGGTGCCATAATACCCTGCAATTTTAAGACACCTGTCACCTAAGGATATCAAAGCACTTTTCAAGACGGGTATTGTCCCCATTTCACAGAGGGATGTACTGAGGCTCGGAGACAGGGGAAAAAAAGATTTGCCTAAAGTCACACAGATGTCAATGTCGGAGCTGGAAAGAACCCAGGAGTGGTGTCTTTCAGTCCTCTGCTGTAACCCCCAAGACAGCACATGCTCATTGAGCCTCTTGGTCAGGCCAGAGTCAAGGTATAATCTCTAGCAGAACTGGGAAGCCAAAGAACTTTCACAGAAGATCCAGACATTCAAGAGTGAGTTAGTTTAATAATTCACCTGTTAAACTCACTGCTACAGTATAATGAGCCAGAAGCACAGTTGGATTCAATAAAGGATTGAACATTTACATGGATAACAAGAACACTCCCATCCCATTAGCCAGGGCTATGAACTATCACATTCCAGGGCATTAGCCAACCTCCTGTGTCACTAAGGAAGAAACCTTCTCTATTTGCAGGTCAGAGCCCATAACAGTGCTTCCTGAAGCTTGCTTTGGAGCAGCTAGCACTGGCCAGGGACAAGACACTGGGCTAGGTGCATCTTGGTCTGAGCCAGCCTGCCAGATTCTATATTCCTACAGAAGCCTGAAGAGGTCTTGGATCGTGAAACATGCTGGCTTGTGGGTCAGGGCAGCAGTGCTACTCTGGGAACAGCAGCTCCAGGCTACCAGGTGTGAAGATGGCCCCTAAGAGGAACCAAAGATACTGCCTGGGGTTCTCACTTCACAACACTCTGGCAAAACGCCCACACATCTGTTGTCGCAATGCCACACATGAGCGCTCTGTAGGCCCCAACAAGGCTATGGGAAGCTGTTAAGAACAGGGAAGCCAATGGGCAGGAAATGATGACTCTGCACTTTTCCAAAAACCACGGGATTGAACTCAGAAGCCATCCAGTGTAAACACCACCACTAGTTCTCCAGCCAGTGACCTTCACACCAACTCCCTCCAACCATAGCTGGGCAGAAACACGACAGCTGTGAGGGCCCCCCAGAGAGTCAGATCTTTGGCAATAGCAATTAGACAATGAATAAAATCAGCCGCAGTTCTGGGTTTGGAATCTGCACTAGCAGGGGATTTTCACCACAACACCTGATGAGCAGCTGCAGCTCACTAGGGCCCCAGAAGCTAGAAAACCAGAGCTCACAAGAACAGGTAGGTTGTCTGGCGTGATGCTGCCACCCAGCGCAATCCAAGCATTTCCCGGCAGAAGCGCTGTGAACAGTAGTGTAGGAACACAAGCCATGAGTGAGCTTTTGGTTAGTCTAGTCCAGCACCTCCTGCTGGGAGAAGGCAACCCAGCGGGGCAGGAGCACAGGCTGAGTGGGGAAGCCCACACTTGGTCCAGCAGGGGCACTGCAGGGTCACAGGGTGCAGGAAAGGCTTAGATGCTCCATATCCAGTTCCCACTAGGATGCAGGGGGCAGAGAAGCGTTGCCAAGGCAGGGTTTTGAGCCTCACCTTTTAGTTCCGTGTCCAGGGAGGGGGTGCTGGCTTCCTGCTGCTCTCCCGAGTCCACCGAGATGCTTCGTTCCCGTTTCACTTTGCCCTTCAAGGACCCAAAGTTTGGGACAGCGTTCTGGCTGTTCTTCAGTCCAGAGTTGCCAGGAGAAATCTGATTGGCTTTGCTGCCATGATTTCCCGCCCCCACGCCCTTAGAGCCCAGGCTGCAGGTGGCTCCTTGACTCACATTATGATGCTGGGACTGGGTGCCGCTGTTACCTGTCTTTCCATGATTGGTCAGTTTATTGTCAGGGTGCATTTGATTGGCTAAAACTTCTCACAGCGACAGTGAAGGGAGCTCCAAGTCCCTGCTGCTGCTTCCCTTTGGTCAAACTGCCTGCAATAAATAAATAAATAAAATCAAATAATTTTAAAAAATCAACAAGTAAAATCCCCGTGCCCCACGTCTCCCCTCAGAGCGCGCATGGGCCTTCCCAGAAGCCATCCAGGGCGCCTATGACCCAAGTGCCTCCTCCCCTTCCTCCATCAAAGGCACTTGCACCCCTCGTGCCTGTCCCCAACCCCTGCTGAAGGGACTGCAATCTCACCTACCACTATTAGCACAGCCCTGCGTACATGCAAGGTTTGTACACACATCCAGTCTATAACCACGTCTGTGGATATTCACAGATTTGTGGGGCTCCAACTATTAGCAAAGTCCACAACGCCCAGTTCAGTAGTCCTGGCACACTCAACATCACTAGGAATGAACAACTGGGGGAAACCGAACACAATGTGCTACATTCTGGGTCAACCATGACCTCACCTCTCCACTCTAAAAAAAGAAAAGTAAACTTTGCAAGGCCTTTCTGCTGGGAATAACGGGATTCACACCACAACGCTTTCTAAGTTGCATTCAGGAGACCCTTGTGACTTCAGTGTATTCACAGGTCTCCTGTGCCAGCCTGGGCGTGCAGCAGAGACTAGGTGCCACAGGGTCTCACTGCAGCTGTCGTGCACCACAGCAAGTTCCCCATGGTTCCCGGTGCATTTAGGAGCAGCAGCGGCTGCACAGCAGGGACTGGGAGCAGTGCTCCCAGTTTTCATTAATTTTGCCATTCACAGTGGATGTGGGAACACATCCATTGCAAATGATGAGGGTTTCCTGTACTTACATGCTACATCAGGGGCCTAGAAGAAAACAGCTTTCATGGTGCTGCAAATCTGGCTGTGGGGAACTTCAAGGTGGATGCCTCAAGGAATCCATTTTGAAGCACTTGGAAGAGGGAAAAGTGATCAAGAACAGTCAGCATGGATTCACGAAGGGCAAGTCGTGCCTGACCAATCGGACTAGCTTCTATGATGAGGTAACTGGCTCTGTGGACGTGGGAAAGTCAGTGGATGAGATATACCTTGACTTTAGCAAGGCTTTTGATACGGTCTCCCACAATATTCTTGCCAGCAAGTTAAGGGAATACGGATTGGATAAATGGACGATAAGATGGATAGAAAGCTGGCTAGACTGTCGGGCCCAGCGGGTAGTGATCAACAGCTCGATGTCAGGTTGGCGGTCAGTTTCTAGCAGAGTGTCCTGTTCTTGGACCTGTTTTGTTCAACATCTTTATTAATGACCTGGCTGAGGGGATGGATTGCACCCTCAGCAAGATCACAGTTGACACTAAGCTAGGCGGAGAGGTAGATAAGCTGGAGGGCAGGGATAGGGTCCAGAGTGACCTAGACAGATTAGAGGATTGGGCCAAAATAAATCTGATGAGGTTCAACAAGGACAAGTGCAGAGTCCTGCACTTGGAACGGAGAATCCCAAGCATGGTTACAGGCTGAGGACTGAATGGCTAAGTAGCAGATCTGCAGATAAGGACCTGGGGGTTACAGTGGATGAGAAGCTGGAGATGAGTCAACAGGGGGCCCTTGTAGCCAAGAAGGCTAATGGCATATTAGGGTGCATTAGGAGGAGCATTGCCAGCAGATTTAGAGAAGTGATTATTCCACTTTATTTGGCTCAGGTGAGGCCACATCCGGAATATTGTGTACAGTTCTGGGCCACCTCCCCCGCATAGAAACAATGTGGAAGTATTGGAGAGGGTCCAGCAGAAGGCGACCAAAACGATTAGGGGGCTGGAGCGCATGACCTATGAGGAGAGACTAAGGGATTTGGGTTTGTTTAGTCGGCAGAAGAGGAGAGTGAGGGGGCATTTGATAGCAGCCTTCAACTTCCTGAGGCTGTTCTCAGTGGTGGCAGAACAAGGAGCAATGGTCTCAAGTTGCGGTGGGAGAGGTCCAGGTTGGATATTAGGAAAACTATTTCCCTAGGCGGGTGGGGAAGCACTGGGCTGGGTTCCCTAGAGAGGTGGTGGAGTCTCCATCCCTAGAGGTGTTTAAGTCTCGGCTTGACAAAGCCCTGGCTGGGTTGATTTAGTTGGGATTGGTCCTGCCTAGAGCAGGGGGCTGGACTTGATGACTCCTGAGGTCTCTGCCAGCTCTATGGTTCTATTCTATGATTCTAGGATAGAACCAGATTTGTCAAAGGCAAAAATCAGGCCCTGACCACTTGAGCTAAAGGAGAATTCTCCTTAGCTGGAAGCAGCATAAGACCTATGACACACAGGAAAACAATTCCACCAAAAAAAATATGCAGGCATGCCACAGAATCCTTGGGCTGGAAGAGACCTCGGGAGTCGAGTCCAGCCCCCTGCCCAAAGCAGGACCAACCTAAATCATCCCAGCCGGGGCTTTGTCAAGCTGGGACTTAAAAACCTCTAGGGATGGAGATTCCTCCCCCTCGCTAGGGAACCCATCCCAGCGCTTCAATGTGTATATATTAGAGATGTCAAAATGTGTGTAACCACTGAGAATTTCAGCGCTAATACCGTTACGCACAGGCAGCCAGTGCACACCTGGAGTTGTATCAGAGGCAGCTGCATGGGGTGATGGGTGCTCCCTCAGAGCTGGACGGGGAGCTGTGTGTAGCCATTTGGGGAACCCATAAGCTCT